TGAAGTCCCGGTGACAACGGTCTCTCAATCCCTCTTCCGCTACACCTCGTACTTTACCGCACCCCACACATGCAAAAAACACTCCTCAAAAATTCCAAGCGAGAATTCTCTCCTGCAACTACTGTTTCCATGGCATAACTGGTTTGGCGCAGCAAACGCAGAGGATGATGATCACCTTTGTGACACATGTCATACCCTGGGCCAGCGAGACCCCGGCATATCGCTCCGTCCCCGGCGTTGTGGGGATGGGAGGTAAATGGACTAACGACTACTACGACATGCGTTTACATGAGTACACCCCACCTTTTCCATCCCGGAAGCCAGCTCGGCCCCCATGTAGTACTTCGCCGGGGGGCCCTGAGACAGCGCCCGAAGGCGCGCGTGGGACACGATCGCCCCGCAGTGGTCGAGGTGGCCGTGCGACACGAACACGTGCGCCACATGCAAGACCTGTTGTCCTCCGTTTTTCGTATGAGAGCGAACGGGACAAACATAGGGTAGGATGAAAAAAGGTGTGGAGGCGGGACGAACGGACCGGGGGAGGGGGATAACCCTCTTCCGTCGCTATCTTCGTGAGTCTCTCGAATGCCGACAACGTTTCCCGGGCCGACACGGACACGGGCTCTGTTCCCGTACTTGATAGATCACCCACTACGTTGCAACATTTGGGGGGGCGACGGGTATCGGAAATCCTTTCTGCGGAACACGGGAGTTTTTCCTAGGAAGACTTAACAAAAGATCCTCGGCGTTCGGTATTGACCACAACGGAATCGGGGAGCTAACCAGAGTCCCCCCCCCCCCCCCCCCTTTCCCCCAAAGCTGAATGCAACCGTCTCGTAAACCAATCCCGAAACAAGGCAACTGCTGTTGTCCTTGGTAAATTGCTGTAACGAAATCTCATCAACGGGATTTCCTACGTGGTGTTGTCTCCTTCCCTTCCCATACACCCCACCTCAGAAGGACAAACTCCCATGTCGAAAACCACTCCATGCTTGCCGAGGAGGTGCCTGTGCCGGACGTTGAAGCACGAGCACACTCCGGCCTTGGACCACGCCCCTGCTACGAAGAATCCGCCTCCGGTCATCGCCCTCTCATCGAAAGCGGATCTCCCGCCACCGCCGCCTTTGCCCCCCTTAGTTCCTTTCGGCGACGGCTTTGATGCCGACGCTGATTTTTTGCTGGCAGCGGTCGCCGAGCCTTTGTGGTTGCCCCCCCCCCTGCTGCTGCTGCTGCTGCTGCTTTTGATGTTTGCGCCAGTCGCCATTCCGACGGCCGTGTCCAGCGGACGCCGGTCTTCCGCCCTTACCGGTTGTGCTTGTGCTCGGATTGAGGCTGCCGCCGCCGCTGATGGTGATGTTATTGCCGGTAGCGTCGATGTCTTTCTGCTCGACGAATCATCATCATCAGCAGCAGCAGCAGCAGCAACGCCAGGTAGTACCCCCTGCCCCGCGCCCTGGGGCACCACCACCGCCTCCCGCGCCGACGCCGGGGGCGGCGGCGGCGGGGGAGCAGCCGCCGGCAGGTGCCTCGCCAACAACCTCACCACCTCGTCGTGGCCCGCCTGCGCCGCCAGATCGAGCGCCGTTTGTCCGGTGGCGTTAACCCCGGGGATCCCCACAGACGCCTCCTCCAAGAGGAACGCCACGGTCTGTCGGTGTCCCTCCGCCGCGGCCAAGTGAAGCGCCGTGTCCCCGCTCGGGGTCGTCTTTCTGGGGTCCGCGCCCCGCGAGATGACCCAGCGCAGAGCGGGGACGTCGCCGGAATCGGCGGCCAGGTGAACCAGCGACCTCCCCAGCGGATCGACGAAGGACAGGTCCGCGACGTCGGCGCCTCGAGACAGGAGGTCGTCGAGGTGCTCGGGGGTGGTCAGCCCGCGGAGTATGGCAGTGGCGAGGCCGGCCATGCCTCCCGCGGCACACAAAACGAGAGGGTTCTACTGTCTGTTGCTGATGCTGGATCGACCCCAGAAATGGCTCCTCCTGTGGGCACGGAGAGGGGGAGCCTGGTGGGATCTCCGGTCAGGTAGTCACGACTTGGGCCGGGCACCAACGGTGCTGCGGCAGATCACCACACACGCGCCAAGCAGCTGGAGGGGCGAAGCGGGTCGTGAGTGAGTGCACAGCGCAGACCTGCTCTGAGGGTTTTATCAGCAGCAGCAGCAGCAGCACTAGATAAGTGAACGAGATATTTGCTTGGCCTCGGTCTTGGAAAGCGCGGTTAGAAATCCCAATTGTTGCTCCGTTTCCACCAGGTGTTCTCCCTCTCTCTCTCTCGCTTGCTCGCTCTCTGTCGCCGTGGCATTTCAAAATCAAGCGAGAGAAAAGATCAAGTATCTTCGGCGGTGCTTCATATGGGCGTACTCTCACTCGTATGCTTTGCATGCCTTAGCGGTTAGACCATTGACCACGCGTCCTCGAAAGGACGGAGCATTGTTCCCACAGCACCATCACCGATGATGGCCAATCTGCTTCGCCAAAGGTGGCTCAAAAATGTTTCCCTAGCGAGGTGCATACGATTTATTTGGAGCAAACTTACCAGGAACATTTTTTTTATACCAGGATATAGTAAAGCAATTATCAACCTAACTCCTCTTACCATATGGACGGGTTTTAGAATGAATGTGGTAAGATTTAGGTGTGCTTAGAGTACAACCTGGTCCTTGTATACGTACATGTGCTTTAATGTGTACCTGGTAACATTAACATTTGTTTCATTGTAAATCAACGCGGTACACCTCGAACTCAATGTATGGGTTATTGGTTACTTCGTACGTGTTGGGATGGGATGGGTTATGTGCTCTTTGAGTGTAAGGTGTACAGGTTTTACTAATAAAAACAGCCTACCAGTGCGGTATAAAATAACCTAACTGGATCCCAAACAAAAATCGTCTTCACAAACAGGGGTATTAGCATGATTATGTACTCCCGATATTTGAATCCATGAATAATCCATGAGCCCGCTTCGTGAACAAAAAATATTTGCAAATATGGACCGCCCTACGCAGGATTTTAAGAGTATCTAGAAAAAGAATAGGGAGGGGTCACGAAGACCCTATCCCTAACCCTAAAGCACGGATTGAATACTTTATCCCACATGTTTGCTTAATCAATTTTGCTTCGTAGACTGCGAAACATATGAGACGGAGAAAATAAAGAAAATGGAAAAAAAGAAGTGGAGGTGGAGAGCATCGATCTCCCTACCTGTTCAATGCTAATGAACCGCTCTACCATTTGAGCTACACCCCCTTCATATTAGTTGGGCAACTTTTTCCCATCTACATTACACCCTAGACTATTCCAACAACACCCTGTTCGACATGGCGGAGGTGTACAATATCTCCAACCAAAATGAACGCGACAACGCAGGTTTTTCACTACGCACGAGTGCTAGCGCCTTTCAACAGGCAGGATATCACGCACGTCGCTCCCGAATTGGCTCACCGCCAAGAACAGCGCCCCGATTCACCCCACGGACTGCGCTGTGTTCCACTTTTGATGTAAGATGCATACGCCAACCGGCACACAGCTAATCGTCCATCGTCCATCATGTGCACACAGTGATGGTGGCGGTATCGTCGGCTGTGTGGTGCACCGTATGAGGGATGGGCTAGACATTATCGGCCAACGACGAGTAGGTAATGTTCCCGAGTATCTTCTTGCTTGCCGTCCTACGTCCTACATTTACATCATCCGCTGTGCGCTGCGCTGTATGTAGAGGGAGGGGGGGGTTGGTTGTAGGAGAGAGCACTGAGTAGGCACGATGAATCCGATCGATGCACAGCAAACATGTGCATACATACACATCTATCTCATGTCTCCTACCTCTTTTACACGGCTGTAGCCTGGGTGCACTTCCTCCTGCGTGACCTCGGCTGTTCATACCCAGAATTGTACCGAAGTGCGTAGTAAGGACCAACGCGCTTGGATAGGCCGCGAACAATATTCGAGGGTGAAAAAAAAAAAAGGGTGTCATGTGGCGCCAAATCAATGACGACGACCACATGGAACGGGGTACACGAAGACACTTTGAACACTTTTTTTCTGATGGTTGTACATGGTTGTATTGTGTAGTGCTTGTAGCATTGTTATGTCTAGATGCAGATAGTCTACAATGTATCTGCCTCTGCATTCCGGTGTTCATACGGACAACAACTACTGCGAAGTAATTACCCCTGAGGTGACAACAAGATATTGTACATGATAGTCAATCACACCCCCACAGCAGCAGCAGTAGAAAGGGTGGCGGTGCCTAAAATAGCGGCGTTGGAACCACTTCGTCGAGATATTTTCATATTTTCAGACACGCCGTTCGATTTTGACATCTTCTTTCTTCGTCAGGGAATAATCGCAACGGTCCAGGGGGTGTGGTATCTTGTGTCATGTCATGTCACCTACAGCAGTACGTTACTCTGTTTTCGGTGGTGATGCGTGCCGTGTTTCCCGGACGGAGCACACTCCTAGCAGTAGTGGAAAAAGTAGTATCCCAAGGTACTAAGAATTTTTCGCTATAATTCCTTGAGGACTACAGTACCGTTTGGGACAAAGCAGTGGCAGTAGCAGCATAGGTGCGCCTCCGACCGACCGGGCAAAAGCTTGTTCCAATCGATGACAAATGTTCATACAGTCACATTGATTGGTACAAGTAGCCAATCGACGTGTAACACTTTTTCTAGAGTGGACCACCAGAGATGGAACACCAACAATCAAATGCTGCCATTTATTACGCACAGCAAGGGTCAGCCTTGGAGGTCCCATCTCTCGAACGTCCGGCGAGGGCGACTCCCTCTTTCTTTGCACATTGATTGCAGTCAGGGCGTCAGTATAGAACCGACACTCACCGCTTGCCTCCATCACTGCCCGAAGAGAGTAGACTAGTAAAGCTCAACAAACATGAAGCCCGGCAATCGCATCTAGTCTACCCCAAACTCGTTTGAACTTGCTTGGAGACTGAAAATCACAACAAAATAAAGAGGGGCAACGGGGGTCGCGGGGCAAAAAGGAGCCGGGATGATCATAGCGCGCTCGACCCGGGGCCACATAACATTTATACTAGTCTGAACATTACACCTGAGGGACTCTGGTCGATCGCGTAGCACCTCTAGGCCGACGACACCTGCCTGCCGCCGATTTACTCGCGCGGCAGCATGTATATAAAGAAAGTAACAAGCACAGGCTAATTTCACTATTCTTCCAACCGCCGCGCCCCTTCCAACAGCGACCGATCCAGGATACCCACAGCAGCTGGAGGAGAGCGAGAGAGCTCATTAGCGCGCAGCCTCGTGTGTATGTATTACATGAACGCAGACCCTCTACCGTGGCATCACACGCACACCCAGGCCGTGCGTTGAATCGCCGACTGATTGCGTCGTCGTTGGACACACCTACTACTAGACTACTACTGTACCTCTACACTCCCTCTCCTTTCCCACGAAGATTGGGTACGACGCTGCATGCTGCTGCTGCTGCTGCTGCTATCGTTTCGACATGGAGAGGGCACCACAAATCGATCGAAGCCGAAACGGCACGGCAAGGCACTGCATCACATCGTCAAAAGACGAAAGGCGGTTTCAGGGGGAAAAGCAGCCGCCTATTTTATACCTGAATCAACACAGCTCGTCAACGACAAAATATGCAAATTACTCTACCCCACAAACAGGCAGTGAGAGGCAGCTGCTACATATCATCGTACAGACAGTCTGATCGTGAGTTCGTGTGGTGGCCAGCAGCCAAAATAACACATCCCGGCCCCCTTTCCCCCCGGAAAGCTGAAAAAACTCTCCCGTTGACCATTCCAAGTCTGTCCGGTCTACTCTGCCCTCGTTTGCTTGCTTGGGTGCGGCATCGGATCGGCGATAGATGCTGCGGTTGCGTCCAAAGACGCGCTACAGTCTAATGGTAAGCAAGACACACATGTATAAAATATACGCCACCCAATCACATGCACAAGGCACACGTGCTACGAGAACAGAACAAAGGACAGCCAAACAGTCTCCCCAACCCCTCAGCGACTATCCTGGCATGGCCGTTTGCTTCATGGTTCTGGGATTTCGTGCCACATGCACCACAGAAAGGCAAAAAATTACCAACAAATTACTCATTCTTTCACCATCATACCACAACCTCTACTTTTAGTTGTTCTCCTGCTTTTCGCTTAGAACACCCTCGTACGGTGATGACGCGTGCATGTACACGCTGAAATTCCTTCTTTCAAGGCTAGAATACAATGGACGAGACTACACGACGGGTGGCGGCGAACAAAATTTCGAAACAAAGGGGATGCATACCGTCAACCGTCAATAATAGTGTATAGTGTTGACAGAGATCACGCAAACAATCTTCTTACGCTCTTCTCTACGTTTCGGACAAAAAAAGGTTCTCCAGACCAAGAGAACCATCGCCACACACACCCCTGACACACACGCATGAACACGACGCCGGGTACACGACACACAAAACGAACGAAAACAACGCACACTCAACAACGAAACGGACATAACGCAAGGGTCTTGTCCAACGACAGAATAAGTAGTCCTCCTCTCCCGCCGTCACATGCTCTCAAGCTCCCTCCTGCTCTAAGCGGGGTGGATGGGGGCCCCGCGCATGTTTCCACCCCCGCCCGCCCAGCCGTCCTCGTCCGGGGCGACCTGCGGCGGCTTGGCCGCGTCCGCCTGCCTCCGCTTGTGCACGGCGATGGCGGCAAGGACGAGGATCACCGCGGCGGCGATGCCCGCGGAAAGCGCGGCCACCTGAACGTTGTCGCTGGAGGTCTCGGCCTCCCCGGACGGGAACATCTCCCCCGTCAGCTGCGTCTCCGGGAACGGCATCAGCACCGCGTCGATCGCGTGCACCATGCCGTTGCTCGAGGGAAGGTTTCCCACGAGGATGGAGGCGTCGCCCCCCTCCGCGTCCTCGATGAGGGTACCCCCGCCGACGACCGAGAGGGAGCCCCCGCCACTAAGGGTGCGCAGCATTCCGACGTCGTCCATGGAGTTGGTCCCCACCTCCCCGTCCACCATGTGGTACCGGAGGAGCTCCTCGAGAGCGGTCCGGTTGGCCAGGTTGATGTTGGAGGGGTCGAGCCGCAGCTCTAGGAACGCGCTGTCCGTGGGAGCCAAGACCTGCGTGCGGCGCCGTGCGTGCGTCACGAGCAAGGCCGAAGTCAGAACAGCCACGCTGGCCAAGACAACAAAAAAGGCGACTTGGGACCTGCAGCAGAGCTACGGTTGTCGTGAGAGGGCACGTACCAAACACCCGCGCTTGCACAGGCGACTGGATGCAGCCAGCCGACGACGCGGGGTCCTCCGCAATCCGGGGCCTTCAGAACAACACATACTAATAATTCTTCTCTGCACGGAAAACAATGCTAATCGATTCGACACACACACACACAACACTGCTGGTAGACGGACAAGAAGAGCAACAGACTCACGCTGACCTGAACATGCAACGCCGCCGCGGCGGAGTCAAGAAAAAAAAAAAAAACTCACAGTGTAAGGCCCGTTCAAGCCCTTGTAGTCCCCGGACACGTCGGTGAGGTTAATGGCCGTCAAGAAGGTGTCGAACACCCCCTCGTACGAGCCCCCGGGCTCGTTGTACGTCTCGAGCGAGGACATGAGGTCCGGGGGCATCAGCACGCCGTCGACGTAGTGCAGGTAACCGTTCGAGCACTTGACGTCCGCCTCGGTTATGGCGATCGCGTTTCCCTCGGAGTCGATCAGCGTCGCCCCCGAGGTGGCCAGGTCTACCCCGAGGGCGGTGAAGAGGGAGTCGTCGCTGGCGATCGCCGACCGCATGACGCCGCCGTCAAGAGTGTGGTAGAGAAGCAGGTTCTCGAGGATGGAGGGCGGGATGTCCTCCACATTCTCGGGGCCGATGCCGGCATGCAGGAAGGCCGCGTTCGTGGGCGCGAAAAGCTGTGCGGGAACATAGAAGAAGAAGAAGAAGCAGTTGTTCCGTTTCGCGAGGACGCGGAAAAGGGGGTGTCGGAGGAAGGGTCAGGGCAACACCACAGGTATACCTTCAGTTGGGTTTGTTGGCGGCTACTCAGACCTCTTTTTGCCAGACAAGGAAGGAAGAAAAACATTTCGCAAAACGACTCGCCTACCTCACAGCCGCAACGGACATCTACACTGTGCGATGGGCTAACCCCTCGAGAACACTTTCAATTTTCGCAAAAATTGTATGCTAACAACTTTTACACACAATGTGTCCAAACCAATTTTATTCTGATGCCATCCATAAACCGCACATGTGCACGTGCAACAACAAGAGCCAGAGAAAATAAAAATAAAACAAATATGGCCGCGGTGGCGCACCGTGAAGGGTCCTGGTGCGGAGAGCTCCATGTCCAGCCCCGACGAAGCGGCCAGAGCCGCGATCATCGTGTCGAACTGCCCGAAGTACGGGCTGAACGGGTCGGCGTTCTCCGCGACGAGCATGTCCACGATCACCAGGTAGGTCGGGGCGGCGGTCGGGGCGGCCGTCGGCGACTGCGTGAAGAGCGGGTACGGCTCCAGCACGATGTCTATGGCGTGCATGTACCCGTTCACGGCCTGGAGGTCGGCGGCCAGCAGGCTGGCCTTCATCTGGGTGTCGTCGAGGATGCCGCCGTCGAGGGAGTTCCGCAGCGTGCTGCCCGACAGCAGGGTGTCGAACTCGCGGAGGGGGCCCCGCAGAGTGGCGTTGTCCGCGGCCTCGTTGGTGACGATGTGGTACCGCAGCACCGTCTCGAGAACTTCCTCGTCGAAGGTGAGGACGGTTTCGTTCGTGATGCCGATGGACTCGAAGGCGAAGTCTCCCGGGGCGAACACCTGATGATACAATGCGGTTTCATCGTTTGGTTGTCGTCGTGAGCTACGGCAGTGGTGGTGGTGGTGGTGTTGGGTGGTCATCAGGGAGGAGGATCGGAACACCGAAGGAGGAAAAACCACGGAAAAATAAACACAGGGTACGCATACATCTTTTTCAGGACGCGAGCGAGCGCACCAAGCTCCAACACTCACACAAAACGAAGGTAGGCTTCCAACACCACAGCCAGTCAGCCCGCACTATTTACTCACCGTGTAGAGCCCGTTGACGCCGCTGAGCGTCCCGCCGAGCCCGGTCCTCGCCACCCCGGCCAGGAAGATGTCGAACACTCCCTCGAAGGAACCCCCCTCCGCGTTAACGTTGGTCGCCAGCGTGAGGAGGTCGGGCGGGAAGAGGACACCGTCCACGGGGTGGGCGTAGCCGTTGCTGGCCCTGAGCTCTTCGCCGACCAGGGACCTGGTGTTGCCCTCGCCGTCCGTGAGAGTGTCTCCGTTTACCCCCAGGTTCACCTGGGTGGACAACAACAAACGGAACAAGTAACGAGAGCAGGGAGGAGAAGGGCTTCTTCGTCAAGTGTAAACAAGAGAAGGAAGAAATTCCTTCCATCGAGTGCGAATTGCGGGAGGATCTAGTCTAAGAACAAGGAGACGAAGAAGAAATAAGTAAATCCTGGCGGAACGTTTGGTTGCCGCCCCCGGATATGATGCAGGAATAGGACTTCCCCGTCGCGACCCGTTCGTTCGCACCACCCGCACCCCACGCTGCCTCCGTTTTCTCACCTTGAGCACCGTGTAGAAGTCGGTGGCGTTAGCCATCACCTCCGAGGACGCGGCTCCTTCCAGAAGGTGGTAGAGGAAGAGGTTCTGCACCGCCGGCTGCGGCAGAGTGGTGATGGAGGTGTCGGTGATGCCCTCCGCCTCGAAGGCGTCGTCGGTGGGCAGGAAGACCTGCTCGACGCCAACCAGTGTGTTCGGCGCATCATTTGTCCGCGGACGGCAAAAAGGCAACAGCGACAGCGCGACATGAGTTGCAAATAAAATGACGACCAACAGGCTAGCGCGGCCGATACTGGTGAACGGAACACACAAACCCTATATACAAGTCCCCCGTGACTTGCCAAACGTGATGCTTCCAACAACAACAACAACAACAACAACAACAACAACAACAAAAACAACCAGCAGCGCCTCACCGTCATGAGCGCCTCCCCTTCCAGCAGCGAGGTGAGCCCCGCGTACTCGAGGCCGGCCAGCACGGTGTCGAACTGCCCCTCGTACTCTCCCGCCGTGTTCGCCGCCCTTGTCGTCGCCACAAGGTCCAGCAGCGCGATCGTCGGGGGACCCGTCCACTGCGCCGCGGGGGCCCACGTGGCCCCCGGGGAGGCCGTCCACTGCGCCGCGGGAGCCCACGTGGCCCCCGGTGACGCCGTCCAAGGTGCTGCCGGGGCCCATGTGGCTCCTGCATTGGAACACCGGGGCGGGGGGCGTACAGCCGGAGGGACGCGGGGGGTCCAACACAAAGGTGTCAACCTCTGGGCTATTCAATGTATGTGTGCTACTGATTTTGCGGCGTACGACTTCGAGGCACCGCATCGTGGGAGTTCTGCACACAACCAGCCATTTCTGGCATCATTCCGCTCTCGCTCGCCGACCCGCACCGGTTGATCGCGTATGTTCATACAATAAAATGCACCCACGAAGATACGGTGGATGGTGTCATGGACGCTAGGTTTTATTGAGTTTACGCTGGGCTTGTATTTTGTTGGGTTCTTGGTTGAAGGCCCCTCAGATGAGAGATGGGGAGCATACATATGTCCATCTTACCGGGGGAGGCGGTCCAAGGAGCCACAGGGGCGAACGTCGCGCCGGGCGACGCCGTCCAGACTCGTGCAGGAGCGGGGGTTGCGCCTGTTGCGGGACGAAGAAGAATCATCAAAAACAGTCGTTTCGAAGGCGGGGTTAGCTGCTGCTGTCGTTGTTAATGCTGTATCGACCATGAACATTGTCTCCAAGCAATCTCTCACCGCAGCATGAACAACGACGAGAGAGATTGCTTCGAGAAATGTTCACGGTCGATACCGCCGTGTCATGGTTGCCAAAAAGAGGAGGGTGGCACGCCGTGTGTCCATGCAAGCACACCATGTTTTCCCCATGGAACTTACCAAGCCTTTTCGGCGATACTGCGGCCACCAAGGCTCTGCAACAGCTTTCGCCGTCACCAAGGAAGGATTTCACAGCAGCAACTACTGGCAATGAGGCAGATCTCCGAAGATCTCCGAAGATCTCCGAACGTCCTTCCCGCACGACGTCCTTCCAAGGAACGACGATCCAAAAAGATTTATGACGCTGTGCACGGGGACGAACGCAAGCAGCAGTCAAGGCGACTTGGACTCACCGGGTGAGGCGGTCCAAGGAGCGGCCGGGGCAAAGGTTGCGCCTGTTGTCGGCGAGGGGAAGGGAGAACAAGTGGGAGAGGGAGGGGGGGAGAGATGGTGCGTAAGGGTTTTGATCACAACGAGAGGCAAGTGCACACAACTGAGCCGGGAAAAGTAGAAGGAAGGTACAGGGAGGTGTTTCAGGCGCGGAATAGTCAGGAGAAGACGGTAGCTGTATTGGGGCATGGGGAGGTGGGTTAAAAAGGCGGCAAGTGACATCGATTGCTAGATAGGCTGGGGAAAGCATTTTGAGTCACCTTCGAAAAGTAAGAAGGATTAAAGCCCCTTTCTCTCGAGGACGCGTGGTCAATGGCAATGGTCTAACCGCTAAGGCATGTAAAACACACGAGCACGCCCCCCCCCCCCACCCCCCCGTGTTGGGGGCGGTGAAGTCCAACAAATCCAGCGAACTTGAATGGACCAAATCACGCTTTCTTTCTCAGCACGGTAAGAAAAAAGAAGGAGGAAAAAGATAAAGGTGGTACGTATCTACATGTACGAGCGAGCTGACGATATACATTGATCACGCAATCAACCAACGGGCGACCGGAACGTACGGGTTAACGACTTACCGGGGGAAGCGGTCCAAGGCTCAACGGGGGCGAACGTAGCGCCAGGCGACGCGGTCCAGACTCGCTGAGGAGCGGGGGTCGCGCCTGTCGTGCATGTATAAGCGAGGAGACCAAAAACGGGGGGTGGGGGGGCATGCATGCGTGAGCGTCGCGCGAAACGTGGCGAAGAGACAGGAGTGCGCATCGCAAGAGAGTTATGTACATGCGTTCCTCCTTAGCAAGTGGACCCGGACAGAGATCTACTGAAACGCACTTGGGATCAACCACCGGGGTGGTGGTGGTGGTGGTGGTACGCAGGAATTGAGTAAGAAAGAGCGGTCGAATTTCGGCAAAAAAGAACGCCAAACGACGGTGGGGAGATACAGAAAATGTAAGAGCAAAAAAACGCAACGTTCTCATTTGAGTCTCCGCGGTCCTTCCCCTCCCACCCCGATTGTTTTTCCCGATTGACTTATGATAACATAAAAAAAAACAAAAACAAAAAACTTACCGGGCGACGCCGTCCACGGCGCCACGGGAGCCCACGTTTGCTGGACTGTAGGCGGCGGCGTCCACTCTCGCTGAGGGGCAGGAGTGGCTCCTGGAGACCCAACGGAGGGATAACGAAGGAAAAACGTTACGTGAGTGGGGGCGCGGGGCGCGGGGACGGAAAAGAAAACCTTGGTTCTCCTCAAAACATCGGCGGCTTGTTGTTGATCTCGAGGCGTCAAGAGGATTGGGTAGTGACCGGACGAGGAGGAGGGTGATTCTAGTGCGGGCAAAAGAGCATGGTTTCTCCCGTGATGAAAAAGTTGTTGGCGGCGTCGCTGGCCGTGAAGAACATTCTCGGCGGCAGCAGGAGCAGCAGGAGCAGCAGCAGCAGCAGCAGCAGAAGCACAAGAAGCACAAGAAGCAGCAGCAAAGGCGCAGACAACGGGGTTCGTCCGCAGACCTTCGCAGCGGGACACGTATCCGTTTCGCGCGGAATCGCCGGGAGTGTTTGCTCAACACCTCATCATCATCACCATCATCGTCGTTCGGGCGGACCTCGAAGGCGGGGCCTGTCCCCGCGAAACCTCGTGCACTCGTGCGACGTCGACATTTCTTCACACGCGCCATCGTCACGGTCACGGTGGGTACCGGCGCCTTCCATCTCTTTGGAACGGCTTTGTGTTCACTCACAAACATCACACGGGTGTCGAGACACTTCGGGCTTCTCTCTCTCTCCCTCGTCTTCGATACCCTCTACTCAATACTCGCTCGGTCATGCGGCTTATCTACCGCGGTGGGGTCTTCGCAGAAGAACGCTCTCTCTCGTGGGCCGGCCGATCGCTCGCTCGCTCGCTCGCATCGCATCGCATCAGATTCCGCGTGCATAAAACAATCGGAAATGCCATACCTGGGGAAGCGGTCCAAGGGGCTGCTGGTGCAAACGTGGCACCGGGGGAAGCAGTCCATTCGCGTTGGGGAGCGGGAGTGGCACCAGGGGAAGCGGTCCATTCGCGTGTGACCGCGGGTGCCCAGGTGGCACCGGGGGAAGCGGTCCATTCGCGTTGGGGGGCGGGCGTGGCACCGGGGGATGCGGTCCAAGGGGCTGCTGGTGCCCAGGTGGCACCGGGGGAAGCAGTCCATTCGCGCAAGGCGGGCACAGGAGCTTGGGTGGCACCGGGGGATGCGGTCCATTCACGTTGGGGGGCGGGCGTGGCACCGGGGGATGCGGTCCAAGGGGCTGCTGGTGCCCAGGTGGCACCGGGGGAAGCAGTCCATTCGCGCAGGGCGGGCACAGGAGCTTGGGTGGCACCGGGGGAAGCGGTCCATTCACGTTGGGGGGCGGGGGTGGCACCGGGGGATGCGGTCCAAGGGGCTGCTGGCGCCCAGGTGGCACCGGGGGAAGCAGTCCATTCACGTAAGGCGGGCACAGGAGCTTGGGTGGCACCGGGGGATGCGGTCCATTCGCGTTGGGGAGCGGGGGTGGCACCGGGGGATGCGGTCCAAGGGGCTGCTGGTGCCCAGGTGGCACCGGGGGAAGCAGTCCATTCGCGCAGGGCGGGCACAGGAGTTCGGGTGACACCGGTGGATGCGGTCCATTCACGTTGGGGGGCGGGGGTGGCACCGGGGGATGCGGTCCACGGGGCTGCTGGTGCAAAGGTGGCACCGGGGGATGCAGTCCATTCGCGTAAGGCGGGCACAGGAGCTTGGGTGGCACCAGGGGATGCGGTCCATTCACGTTGGGGTGCAGGAGTTGCGCCTGATGAACCCACCAAGAAAAGGTTGGGGGGGAAACGTTGGATTTCCTAGGCTGAATGGTGAACCAAACTCCCGT